GGGGGGGGAGGGGGAGACTCTTCAATTTTGTTCATTTCTCTTTTTTTCCTTATGTGCTCCAGTATTGGTTTTTGTCATGGGAAAGGAGGCGGTCCATGGTGGAATACTAAACAAGAAAGCACATTCAATGGCTGACTACCTGAGGAAGGCTGGATATTAAGCAACCTCTCCACCCATCCATCAGCCCACCCCCCCACCCAACCACCCAACCAACCACCCAACCAACCACCCACCGCATTGTGTTGACACTCCTTCCAGGATTAGACGGCATACAATGTAACATCCTACCCAGTGTACCCTTTTAAAAAACGGCCTTTTGTTTGCTAACATCCCCTCTTTTTTTTATTTTATATAAACCCCCCCCAACCCCACTTAAACCTTGTACTTTATTTTTTTTGGCACTGCAGTAATGGCATGTACATTGAAATGTTTATTAACAAAATAAAAGTGTAAAACAAATTGGGATTGGCTTTGTATAACATCACTTACGATTCCAAGGGGAAGTACACATGTAACGGGGGTTTTGCTTAACCCTTATGTTGTGTTCGGGTGTCCCGTGACCCGTTTCAAGTTAAAATTATATAATAACTACGCTCTAGTTTTTTACAACGGAACAAGGCTTCATGATATCCTCCACAACAGCTATATAAACACTAAAAAACTGATTTTGACAATTTTAGCCAAGTCTGAACGTCTCTTAAAAAAAAGTGAGTTGTAAGTTGGTGTCGGGTCTGGGAAGAACCAGCAGCATTGTTGGGGGTGACTCGGGGCAAATTTGGCCCAATCAAGATTCATCTTTGACTTTAGACACCCCACCCCCTTCATCCACTGTAACAATAATTTTAAACTTTTTTTTTTGGGGAGATTGTAATCTAATATTCTATTATAGTCAGATAATGTTATGAGTGAATTGAGGTTTTACTTAAATATGTGGTGTAATGTTTTTTGGGGCCATAAAATTACAACAGGATTGTATGGTTATGAATGCATTATAAGTTAGTTATGATGTAGTTAAAACAATATTGGATGATAAGTCATTATTTTGGAGTGTTTTGGACTGAGATAAATCATGGGTCAAAATTGACCCGCGAACACCATGAACGGTAACTGCTTTTGAACACAACACAAGGGTTAGCAATACTATAAAAATGGCTGTTTATTTTTTTTCATAAGCATGTTGGCATTTAAAGTTGCATGCATACCCTCTTTAGCAAATCTCTGTCCCTGAGTAATATTCCAGCCAAAACCATCTTCTCTTCTGCCTCCATCTTGAAAGAAATGTCCTCTGAGAAAGTCCTGTATGTGTGTACCAATTCGCTACCTGTTCCCCTCCATCACATGCTTTTGCTGTTGTACCTGAATGTGGTCTTAATGATGTGGGCTGTTGTTTTGAGTGTAGTGTAAGAAGAAGACATATTCACAACATCCTGCAGTCTAAGCGGACACCTCCATGACGGCTCGGACATTTGTCAGCTTCTGCTATTTGTAAATGTTTCTGTGCATCACTACAACCATGTGAAGTTATTTTGTCCCCCCCTACCCCCTTTGGACAAATTGTCAAAAGTAAGATGATTAACAGAGTTTTTCTGATGGAGGATTGTTGGCATCACCTGTTGACTGTAAACCATAAAGGCGACTTCAGATGTTAAACCGCTTCCTTAGACATCGACGCAACTTTCATCACTAATTGATTTGTAGCTGACTTCATGTCCATTAACCAATGAAACAGCATTTTACTACAGTATGAAGGACTGTACACCGAGGATTGTTGGGCTCCTTGGAATTATTTGCCTTGTGCTTTAGTCATCAAAGGTGTATTCACAATTGTCATAGTACGGTACTTAGAAGTATATTTAAAAGAAGAAAAAAAAAATGAAGCTGTGTTCACTAAAACCTCTTGAAAATGGTGTTGGAATAAGAACATTTGTAAGTTGTCTTGTGAACATTTTCTGAGAATAACTGTGTATTCTGTGCCATAAAAATTGATCTGATCTGTTGCTACGAGTTGGATTTTTAACTGCTGCCCCGGAAAAAGAAGTAACTTTTAATGGCACTTTCCTAAGGGATGTTTTGGCATCAGTAATCTCCAGACTTTGTGGAATATGTACAGAATTAAACAACAGAAAAATAAGTTTGCGATATTTTGTCTTTTTTTTTTTTTTTTTTGTGTTGTAAATTCTTTCTGCCACAAAATCTGCTATTTTGAATGCCATGAATTGATGAGACATCTTGTTTGCAGACAGATAAATAAAAGTTATTCCAACCAGAGGTAAAGCCAATATGTCCTGTCTGTTGCCTCGTAAGTACATAGAGTTTTATATAATTTACTTTTAATTAAGGTCATCAGTTCGGACTTTTTTTCATTAATGATACACTACATTAGCTGTTTGGGACATAGGTTAATCTTGTATTATACAATCAATACAGCTAATCACTACTGCCTTACCATTAACTTTTGAACTAATAGATTCCACTAGAATTGTATTATGGGAGATGAAGTCAGGATTAACCTCCTACTGAATACCAGAGATAACTACTCAATATTCCTTTGCAGGAAGTTAGAGCACAATCCACATTTCTATTGCATTTGACCAGATAAGAACCAGTAGTGCCAGATATTTCGATAATTATGTTTTTTTTTTTAAAAAAACAGTGGTGGAAAAAGTATTCAGATTCTTTATTCTAGTAAAAGCACTGTTACCACAACAAATACTAACTTTCCAGTCAAATAACTGCATCAACAAGGGTACTTGTGTTAAAGTATGATTAGGATGTACTTCAAGTGTTAGGAGTAAAATAACTAATTGCAGAATTTTTTTTTTAAAGCAAATCTTCACATTTAAAGGTGGGGTAGGTACGTTTGAGAAACCGGCTCGAGATACACTTTTTGTTATATTCCATGGAATGCTCTTAACATCCTGATAGCAATGAATATCTTAAGTGCTTTGACAAAAAATCCATAAAAAAATGTCATCTGTGGAAGCCGTAGTACTGTAAAAAGCACGACCAATCATTTTAGCCGGCCCGGCTAAAATAACTGGATGGCCTACCTGCCTGTCAGCCTTCCATCTGTGCACAAACTTATCTCGTGCCCTCATTGGTCATGTGCACGTTCGTGTGTGTTGGAGGAGGGGCTCTGTAAGGAAGTGGCAGATTTTTTCCGGCTGTGTATTTTCAAATTCTAGCGATCTCGAGCTGGTTTCTCCAAAATTACCTACCCCACCTTTAAGAAACTGAAACTGAATTATATTTTAGCAAAATTGCTGCCAGTTAGTTTAGTTGGATGCTTTAGTCTAACCCAAATAGTCATATATTAAAAGCTTTTCCTAAGTATTGTGTGTCAACATTTATAAAGTAGCTAGTGAATACATATTTAAAATAAACGAGTTGAGTAAAAAGTCAAAAATTGTCCTCCAAACTGTAGTAGAGTAGAAGTACAAAGTAGGATAAAATGGAAAAAATACTCAGGTAAAGTACAAGTACTTCAAATGTGCACACAAGGACAGCACTTTAAACGGAAATGTACTAGCCTAAGATTGGTTATAATAAGGGGATATATGAAGGGTATATTTCAATTTTTCACATTTTTGGGCTTTTTTTTCCATCAACTAAGATTTGTTACAATATGTTTTCAAGTTGAATTGACTAAATGTAAACATATATATTTAGGAGGTACAGTATAAGAAAAGCACAAGTTTCATGTGTGGGCTATTTTCCATAATCCTTTTTGAATTTGCTGAGGGCCAACTCGAAATGGACAACAGGCCTCAGTTGGTCCTAAGAGCAACATTAAACTACCCTGCATCCTCAGATATACACATTTCAGAGTGAGAAGCAGTGGTGGAGTGTGTAGTACATTTACTCAAGTACTATTTTGAAATACTTTACTTTATTTCCATTTTATGCTACATATGTTTCTACTCCTCTACATTTTGGAGGCAAACATTTTATTTTTACTCCTCTACATTCATATTTATTATCTACTTTGTACATGATAGGATATGCTGATATGATGATATGCAGTACTGTACTACTAATCTAACCTTCCTCTAAAAAGTAACTAAAATGGTCTCAACATTTACAAACTACAACATTAAAATGTATCCCTTTGGTGATAAAACAGAATCGTACTGTGTTGAAGTATATTTTGATAATAATACTTCTACTTAATACATAAATGTTACTTCTATGGAGTAAAAGTTATAAATTGGAGTATTTTCAAACCATAGTATTTGTGCTAGAAGTTTATCAGTGGACACATACAGTACAGAGTAGACAAAGACTCAATTTTAGTATCTCACACTATAATATATATTCTGAATCTGCTTGTCACACCAAGTAAAATCTTCAAACCCAATATACCATGTGGTATATCATAGTTTTAAATGCATTTTCCCAGAGTCATTTATTTGTTCTACTTATAAGTTAAGATTCCCCAATAATTAAAATAATGTTAAGGTCTGAACAATATTTGGCTGAAAAAGCATGTTTGTCAGAGCTGGCCCAATTATGGCTTTTTAAAATTATAAACCCAAATATGACACATAGATATTTCCTACATTTTAGCTTGTCCATTTAGCACAAGCCTTAAAAAAGACACCCATAGACACGATAACATGTAAACTACTTTTTGGTTTGCTATGACAAATTATTGTGAGTAGTGACAGCCACAATCTCACGGAAAAGCTAAACAGATATTGGCTTAATCTGAAATCATAAATCTAAAAAGAATCAAGAGAAATGTGATAAACAAGGCTAAAAAACATGGATGTCCAATAAGCGTCAAAAGAAGAACAATTGAATGTGTATCTTTGTTATTCCTCCACTGCCAAAGACTACATGTCAGTAGGGTGTTCAGAGACACAAATTAACGCCCACCCTTAATTGCTGGATTGGCAGCACCTGCTGTGGTCAGGTGTGTAATCAGTCCTAATCAGGACCAGCTGTGTTAAAAGCTGCCTGCAGAGGAGAGAGCACACTGCAAAAGCACACTGCTGGTGTGTAGTGCATTCTCCTGTGTTCCAATGGCGTGTCGAGACAGCGGGGACAGTAGGATTTTACTATGTTTAGGAGTTTTACTGGTTGCTAGTTCATTTAGCCATTGCACAAGACTGACAAAGCTTAAAGCCTTGGATACACGAAGAAGAAACTCTACAAGTAGCAATGGGCAAGCTAAAGGAAGTGAACGGCACCATGGAAGACTCTTAATAGGGCTACATTCTCAGCAAGGAACCACAAAGAACCTTCTGGATGTTGATGCAGATTACCAAGATGACATGGGTATGTAGCTGAAATACTTACAGTCCTGCAAGTGACTACAAGAGTTGTTAATCATGTCAAGTTTTTTTAAGACTAAGTCCAATGCTTTTATTTTTTACTTGTGTACATTTGAATAACTGTGCAAACCTTACTTTTCAAAGCTTTGTATGAAGGCTATTCAAAGCAAAACAGTGAGGCAGTGGAACGTCTTCTCAAAATGGAACCAAAGGTTGAATGTACAGGCAGCTCCATGAGGCTTGAAGTCCAAGATGCTGCTTCTACCCCTGGGTCTCTCTTCTTTGTGGACAGGGGTATGTTTAACTTGTGGAATGATGCATATACAGCTATTACTTATACTGTACACAATACTTAAAATCTCTATTTTCTGTCAAATGTATTGTCAGGAAGCCGCCTGTCTCCACTGCCTTTGTCAAAATTGCCACAAAGCTGCGGTTACACCATCAGATCAACACGGAGCGATTTGTTCTTAGTTGCCCCTTACGATGGTTGCTTTGTCGCTGTTGAGGTGAGATACTTTAATCTTGAAGCAATGCACATTTGAACCATGTACACATTCAACCTTTTGCTTTCTGGTTTTAGGAGGACTGCTACGTTCTCCCATTGCGTTGGTGTGGGTTACCAGTGAGGATGTCATGCCCTATGATGAAGCAGTCATCACCTGACCCTCCGATGGTCACCTGCCATGATCAGGGCATGGTCGTGAAAACTAGTTGGATAGTCCCTGTTGCTAAAATTAGAGTAAATTGTAAGTGTTTTTCTTTCGATATTTTGTATCTTAATGTTGAAGATAAATATTAATGGATGCCAATATAAATTTGATTGTTAGGGCCTATGTATAGTGCATCATTGCAGTCGTTATTTAGGGGACATCTGTGTTCTTTATGCTATTCCATGTCTGCATTGATTAAACTCTGCACATGGCACACTCCAGTTTAACTTCTCCTGGCAGTCTGTGATATACTTACACTCCAGCTATGATTCAGTATGCATTCTATTAGATAATTACCTCTGTCATGCGTAATGTCCACTAGTGGCCTGGTATTTGGAATCTATTTTAAACCCTTTAGGTTGCTGTGTTGGTTTCCCCCAAAGCCTTGTCTACATCTTTTTTATCTTTGTCAATTTGAAGTAGTAAACCACATTTCTCAATTTAACCCTTGGTCTGTCTTTTAGCCTTAAGTGATGGGACTCAAGTTGGACAACAGTTGAGCTGTTTTCAAATACACATTTTTAAAGGGTCACATTAGTTAAGCCTCTAATCTCAAAATAGTACTGGTATTACAGAAATGGAATTCAACTTTACGTGACAAAGATGTCTGCCCTTTGACTAGATGTGTTTTTTAAAGAGTATAACTTATTACCTTTTCAGTGGATGGTAACTGGGAGCCATTGACGAAGGCATCAGCCAGATGTGGGTTCAGTGTAGTCTTGCATCCTGAAGGGGCAGTAATCTCTGTTCGCTATGCACCCTGTCTGGGCAGCAAGGTATGGGAGAGTATTTATTATTTTATCTCCTTCAAAAAATGTTGGATAACCAATTTATCTTATTGTTTCAGGATGGCATGTACACCCTTGAATTGGCTGGTGAGGGAGAAACTACAATCTCCTGTCCATCATTGTCAGCTGTTCCAGAGTTTCCTGGGAAACCATATCAAGGGTCAGAGGATATCAAAGAACCCAAGTTGCCTCAACCTCCTCAAGGACAAGTACAACAGCCCTTCTTCCCCTACTATCCTCAGCCACAACCTGAAAAGGCCACCACAGCCCCACAACCTGAAGCGCCAACCATTACTTCAGGGCCCGAAAAGCTAACTGCACCTCCCATACCTCCCCAGCCTGACACTCCTCAGGGCCCAGTACAGCAGCCCTTCTTCCCCTTCCCCCACTACCCTCATCCAGTGCCTGACCAGCCAACTGCAGCCCCCAACCCTCCACAGCCTGACGCCCCACAGGGCCCAGTACAGCAGCCCTTCTTCCCCTTCCCCCACTACCCTCATCCAGTGCCTGACCAGCCAACTGCAGCCCCCAACCCTCCACAGCCTGACGCCCCACAGGGCCCAGTACAGCAGCCCTTCTTCCCCCACTACCCTCATCCAGTGCCTGACCAGCCAACTGCAGCCCCCAACCCTCCACAGCCTGATGCCCCACAGGGCCCAGTACAGCAGCCCTTCTTCCCCTTCCCCCACTACCCTCATCCAGTGCCTGAAAAGCCAACTCCAGCCCCCAAACCTCCACAGCCTGACGCCCCACAGGGCCCAGTACAGCAGCCCTTCTTCCCCTTCCCCCACTACCCTCATCCAGGGCCTGACCAGCCAACTGCAGCCCCCAAACCTCCACAGCCTGACGCCCCACAGGGCCCAGTACAGCAGCCCTTCTACCCCTTCCCCTACTACCCTCAGCCAGAGCCTGAGAAGCCAACTATTGCTCTGAGGCCTCCACAGCCTGACAACCCTCAAGGACAAGTACAACAGCCCTTCTACCCCTACTATCCTCAGCCACAACCTGAAAAGGCCACCACAGCCCCACAACCTGAAGCGCCAACCAGTACTTCAGGGCCCGAAAAGCTAACTGCACCTCCCATACCTCCCCAGCCTGACACTCCTCAGGGCCCAGTACAGCAGCCCTTCTTCCCCTTCCCCCACTACCCTCAGCCAGTGCCTGAAAAGCCAACTTCCGCTCCAAAACCTCCACAGCCTGACGCCCCACAGGGCCCAGTACAGCAGCCCTTCTTCCCCTTCCCTCACTACCCTCAGCCAATGCCTGAAAAGCCAACTTCTGCTCCCAAACCTCCACAGCCTGACACCCCACAGGGCCCAGTACAGCAGCCCTTCTTCCCCTTCCCCCACTACCCTCAGCCAGTGCCTGAAAAGCCAACTTCCGCTCCCAAACCTCCACAGCCTGACACCCCACAGGGTCCAGTACAGCAGCCCTTCTACCCCTTCCCCCACTACCCTCAGCCAGTGCCTGAAAAGCCAACTTCCGCTCCCAAACCTCCACAGCCTGATGCCCCACAGGGCCCAGTACAGCAGCCCTTCTTCCCCTTCCCTCACTACCCTCAGCCAATGCCTGAAAAGCCAACTTCCGCTCCCAAACCTCCACAGCCTGACACCCCACAGGGCCCAGTACAGCAGCCCTTCTTCCCCTTCCCCCACTACCCTCAGCCAATGCCTGAAAAGCCAACTTCCGCTCCCAAACCTCCACAGCCTGACACCCCACAGGGCCCAGTACAGCAGCCCTTCTTCCCCTTCCCCCCACTACCCTCAGCCAGTGCCTGAAAAGCCAACTTCCGCTCCCAAACCTCCACAGCCTGACACCCCACAGGGTCCAGTACAGCAGCCCTTCTACCCCTTCCCCCACTACCCTCAGCCAGTGCCTGAAAAGCCAACTTCCGCTCCCAAACCTCCACAGCCTGACGCCCCACAGGGCCCAGTACAGCAGCCCTTCTTCCCCTTCCCTCACTACCCTCAGCCAATGCCTGAAAAGCCAACTTCCGCTCCCAAACCTCCACAGCCTGACACCCCACAGGGCCCAGTACAGCAGCCCTTCTTCCCCTTCCCCCACTACCCTCAGCCAGTGCCTGAAAAGCCAACTTCCGCTCCCAAACCTCCACAGCCTGACACCCCACAGGGCCCAGTACAGCAGCCCTTCTACCCCTTCCCCCACTACCCTCAGCCAGTGCCTGAAAAGCCAACTTCCGCTCCCAAACCTCCACAGCCTGACGCCCCACAGGGCCCAGTACAGCAGCCCTTCTTCCCCTTCCCCAACTACCCTCAGCCAGTGCCTGAAAAGCCAACTTCCGCTCCCAAACCTCCACAGCCTGACACCCCACAGGGCCCAGTACAGCAGCCCTTCTTCCCCTTCCCCCACTACCCTCAGCCAGTGCCTGAAAAGCCAACTTCCGCTCCCAAACCTCCACAGCCTGACACCCCACAGGGCCCAGTACAGCAGCCCTTCTTCCCCTTCCCCCACTACCCTCAGCCAGTGCCTGAAAAGCCAACTTCCGCTCCCAAACCTCCACAGCCTGACGCCCCACAGGGCCCAGTACAGCAGCCCTTCTACCCTTTCCCCCACTACCCTCAGCCAGAGCCTGAAAAGCCAACTTCCGCTCCCAAACCTCCACAGCCTGACGCCCCACAGGGCCCAGTACAGCAGCCCTTCTTCCCCTTCCCCAACTACCCTCAGCCAGTGCCTGAAAAGCCAACTTCCGCTCCCAAACCTCCACAGCCTGACACCCCACAGGGCCCAGTACAGCAGCCCTTCTTCCCCTTCCCCCACTACCCTCAGCCAGTGCCTGAAAAGCCAACTTCCGCTCCCAAACCTCCACAGCCTGACACCCCACAGGGCCCAGTACAGCAGCCCTTCTTCCCCTTCCCCCACTACCCTCAGCCAGTGCCTGAAAAGCCAACTTCCGCTCCCAAACCTCCACAGCCTGACGCCCCACAGGGCCCAGTACAGCAGCCCTTCTACCCTTTCCCCCACTACCCTCAGCCAGAGCCTGAAAAGCCAACTGCTTCTCCCAAACCTCCACAGCCTGACACTCCTAAGGGACAACCATTCCCCTACTACCCTCAGCCAGAGACTGAACAGCAAACTACTTCCCCAGAGCCTGAAAAGGCAACGGATGCTCCTAAACAACCACAGCTACAACTTGTAACTTTACCCCCTGCTACCACCTTGCAGCAACCACAACAGGTCACAGTTCACTCAACAGGCATTCCATACATGCCACCCATGTACTGTCCTCAGTTTTGCCCATCTGGAATTTCTAATTGCTGTCCTCAAATTGCTTTTCATCAACATCTCCATCAAATAGTCCCTGCTGGACTTGGCATTCCAGATTCACCTTCATTCCATTCAGGACTGCCTTTCCTTCCTTCAATGGCATATTCTGGTTTTGGCTTGGGATTTGCCCCAAAGCCAACTGAAACATCAATGCAACCTACTACAACATCTTCACCTATACCTCAGTCACTTCCATCTCGACATGAAAAGCAACCAAACGTCCAACCACTAGATGGCATTCCTGCTGCAAACCATGATTTAATCAACCCAACAAAACCTGAATGGTCAGTTTATCCTTATAGTGTACCAGGATCAACTTATCCTAATTTGCAATATTTACCACAAGGCCAATTGCCATTTAAATACAATGTGCCTTCTAGACCACAGGCTCCAGGTAATGAACCATTTAATCAAGTGCTGCAATATGAGCCATATAACATACAGGGCCAATTACCACCCTGGGGCATGAGTTATCCATCAGGGCCTAATTTCATGTCCCATATTGGCCAATACCTACAACTGCAGCATAAAGCAAAGCGGGGAAATGTGCTTCCAGCCAAGGAACTACAGCCATCAAACAAAAAAGCCAGTCTATCTAAAGGTCCTGAACCTGATCATCTTCTGGTCCCATACTACATGCTTCAAGATGCTCAAATGCATACCGATGTCAAATCAAGGGCCTCTGGCAACGCCTCACAGCCATATGTGACTGCCTCAAAGAAAGTAAATGAACATGAGCAAACTGTGCACTCTTCTGAACCAAAGAGTTATGTGCTTCTACAGCATGGCCCACCAGGAAGGGAGTCTGATGATAATCCAAAAGGTAAACTATTGTTTTACACTCTAAATGGTGAATGCGTTTAATGTTTTTTTTTTTACAGTAACTTGGACTAATGTGTGCCTCTCTTGCAGGACTGAGCCAACTGCTTCAGAGAAGGGATATGGAAAAGGAAACAGAAATGAGTCCTTAAATTTGAATAAACAATTGAAATGAATACCTAAGGCTTTTTATTTTTCCTGTTACGCTTGTGGAATTCCGAATTGTCTGTTTTTGGTAATTGACTTGCAAAATGTGAGTAAGGAGGAAAGCAGAATATTGTACTCGTCTCCTTTTGCAGTTGCATTGACAATCACTGACACCCTTTATATTTGCAAGGTTTCAAGTGGACGGCTTGCCCCTGTAACTTGCTGCTATTCAGAATCAAAAGGTGCATTGCCCTTGAACTTATTTGTCTTATTTTTTCTTGCCATGAACTGGTACTTCCTGAACATTGACCCATTCATGTAAACAGACTTACTATAATTGCCCCATTCGACAATATTGACCCTGAAGTAGAACACTAAACTTTTGTGCCAAGGTGTAACAGTTGGGTGTCTTTATGAAGCGTAAAATATTTTAAAGTGGAATTTTCCTCTTTTGAACACGTGAATATATATTTTTCAAATGTAAGATTTGTAACTACCATTTTTACAGTAATTCTAACCAGTGAACTACCCCTCAAACATATTTGTGTTTAAAAACCTGTCTAGACAAAGGTCATTCAGGTGAATGCAGGGGTCATCAGTTGGTATCTGAACAGGCCAATTTCAAAATGTTGTTTATTGGGAAATGTCAATGGGTTCACAGGGATGTCATTGGCATTAGTCAACACACTTGGCAAAGCCATTTGTTTCACAATCACCTTTAAATATGTGGCATGACGGATATCAGTGTGTCCTCATCGAACCTGTCAATGGCCTTGGGTATACTATTTAATGCTTCTAGGAAATGTAGTGCAGCAGAAATGTTTCGGTACATTTAAAGGATGACTGGTGACCAAATAGAACACAAAGCTTTGACTTAGGAAATTTTATTCAGCATCCAATACAAGTATGTATAGATTTGATTTTAGGCACATTTTGCAATTAATTAGTTTCACTCTATAATGGATTATTCTTTGTTGTATTGGTGTTACATCTACCAACCACATTAGTTTAGTGCCAGTGTAGCTGAAAGAAGCAAGTATAGATTCTGTAGGACCTTAACTCTTAAAAGAATATTTTCCTTCCTGGGCACACTGGCACAACAACAATGGGGTCAACCACTGGGGCAGCTGCGACAGGTACATCTATTTTCACAATAACAAGGACCTCAGCACTGTTTGAGGAATCTGAGTCCGATCCAGCGTCAGCAGCTGGAGCAGCATCGGCAGCGGGATCAGCAGCAGCAGCAACCACTGCCGGGGCTACAGGTACAACTTCGGCTGACTCTGTAGATTCTGAGGACAGGAAGCCACTTGGCTCAGGGTCATGGAGAGTAGTCAGTTTGTGGTACCTCAGACCAAGCTTGGGTGACAGGCTGCCTGTGTGTATGTGGACCATCTGTGGCATGGCAGGAGATGCAGCTGCAGTACTGTTGGTATCTGCAGCTGCAGTGCTGTTGGTATCTGCCACAGTGCTGTTGGTATCTGCCACAGTGCTGTTGGTATCTGCAGCTGCAGTGCTGTTGGTATCTGCAGCTGCAGTGCTGTTGGTATCTGCCACAGTGCTGTTGGCATCTATAATAGGCATCTGAAAAAATGTTTCCATCAACATAAGCTTAGTACAAAAAATCTATGTAAAGTACAGTTTTGGATATAAATAAAAAATTGGAGAACTTAAATACAGTATATTACCATAGTTAAAAACATCTTGCAGTCCACTAAGTGATCAATGCTAGAACCTCTGGCGGTACAAAAACCACGTGCCTGGTGGAAAAAATAAAATCTTTAACTGAATTGTGTTAATTTCAAGCTGTTTTGAGAGGTGCCTTAGTAATCAGAGTTCTAAGAGTTCTATGATTTGTTTACTTACAGCCATGGCGTCATTCAGGGGAACGCAGGGGTCATCAGTGCAGTTAGCTTCAACTACAACATATTCTGCCAAATAGATTAGCCCCCCAGACACAACCTTAAACAAGGTATTGAGAAGTATTAACAGACTGATAAGCATATTTAACATCCATTAAATCTTAAGGGGGGGGGGGGGGGGAAAAGAACTTAACGTGATTGGACCCACCTTTGATGACATCCTTCCAACCTCCATAACAGCGTACGTGACTTTTTCAGTCATGTTGTTGAAGGTTGCCAGAGAGGCGTGGACAAAGTCCAGTGCAGTAGTGTCGTTTAGGGGAAGGAGGGTAGCACAGCCCAAGCACAAGTCCTCCGTAGATTCTATATGTCATTAAAGAAAGGTTTTTCTTTGTATGGGTTACATGTTTGGGCGTCTTCAGAATGTATGTGGGTGTCATATTGTTGACCAAGAAATGTTTTACCTTCTGTTTTACACTTGAATGCTGTGACGGTCATCACTCCGCCAACCCTCTTCAGCAGCACATCACAGTCTCCTTCTACTGCCTGGTAAGAGACAAAGAATCAGTCTACTTGGCAGAACACGCTATCATTAATTCACAGCCTTATATTATCATAACCATGACATTTGGTCTAATTCATTTAGCTCCAGTAGGAAAGCTTCTGTGTAGTAATGCCTCACCGTCATTCTTTTAGGCCTCACGGTGCAGTTCGCAAGAGGTGTGGGATCCAGGACATGACAGTCTGTCTCCAGCAGTTCTATCTCCAACTTATATGTGTTGTCTCCATCAGGCTTTGGAAGGAAAAAAACGAATATTAATGACTTTAAAGGGTTCTGTTAAATACGGGCAATTGTTAAAGGTATACTCACCATGAATGTTTTACTTTATCTATATTATGCACTTTCCCATGACATTTTACTACATGTTTTTAAGCATAGCATATTTTTATAGGACATTTCTTTCCCTTTTTTTGAAATATTTGTTATGTTCATAAAAAGATATACATTCATATCACAGATTAATCTTCAAAATGATGTGATCCTGTAATGCAGGAAATTAATGTCATGAGTTTTTTGTTATGCATTGCATTCAAAGTTCTTGCTAGCAGAGGAAAAATAAACTATCTGTATGGATATTTGTGCACCTGCCGACTTAAACACACTGCACCTGCTGATATATAAACAAACTACAACTGCTAATTTGTTAACAAACTACACCTGCTGATTTACACAAAAATTACACCTGCTGACTTACTCTAAACCCGCTGACTTAAAAACACTCTACACCTCCTGATAAATGCGACTCTAAACATGCTGACTTACACACACTCTAAGGCCGTTTCTCAATGTCGAGTACACATGCTGCAGAGCCACTATTTCAAGTATTCTACGTCATCGAGTAGCGCCGAATGCTGGGCATTTAACATGCATTTAAACAGTCCTTCGGCGCCATTCGATGACGTAGAATACTTGAAATAGTGGCTCTGCAGCAGGTATACTCGACATTGAGAAACGGCCTAAGTTTCCTGACTTGCGCACAATCACTCTGTCCCCCCCCCTCCCAGTGAGCTGTGGTGTTCCACAAGGAAGCATATTAGGTCCGTTACTGTTCCTAATTTATGCAAATGACATGTCATCAGCATGTGACTGCAACTTGTTCCTGTTCGCGGACGACTCAGCCCTGCTGGTCTCTGACAGGAGCAGATTGCAGGTTGAAAAAACCCTCAGCTCCGAGCTCGGCAGAATCTGCACCTGGCTCGCCGATAATAAATTATCATTACACCTGGGTAAAACAGAGTCCATTCTCTTCGGTTCGAAACATAATCTCAGCAAATCCGACGACTTCTCAGTTGCAGTGGGTGACATTATTGTCACAAGTAAGAAGGAAATTACATACCTAGGATCTATTCTTGAGGCAAACCTCTCCTGTGACAAAATGGCATCCAATGTAATAAAAAAAGTCAATCAAAGAACTAGATTCCTATACCGGATCTCCTCTCTGGTAAACAAAAACACCCTGAAAACTCTGGCAGGAGCACTCATTCAAGGGTACTATGACTATGCTTGCACGTCATGGTACCATAGCACCTCCAAGGCGCTAAAAACAAAACTTCAAACATCGCAAAATAAACTGATCAGACTACTGCTTGACCTTTCATCTAGAACCCACCTCACCTCTGCCCACTTTGACAACCTAGGATGGCTTAGAGTAGACGACAGAGTACAGCTACTTGCAATGGGCCTGGTCTACAAGATCCACTACACCTCTATGGTACCCATGTACATGTCAAAATTCTTCCCAAAGGTCAAGGAATACCATGATCATAACACCAGAGGGAGCTCCACAAATCATGTAAAACCCAGATTTGGCACAAAAAAAGGGGAATACACGTTTCGCAATTATGCCACATCAAGGTGGAACGCTCTTCCCACAACTGTAAAGGAAAGTAAAACTATACTTACCTTCAAAACCTCTCTTAAAGAGCACCTTCGGGGGAAAGCATTGCAAAACTGGCCCCGGTAATGGTACAAATCTCAACCTGTCGTACAATGGACAGCTTCCCCCCCCCCATCTATGTATATACTCGCATTTTAGACTCTGTTACTAACTGTATATCTGTAGACTTGGTATGTCTTAAATGTCCGGTTAGGATGTATTAGAACGAAATCTAAAATGAAAATTGTAAATAATCCATCTGTATGTAAAAAACCACCTGTATGTAAATTGTAAATAAGCCATCTGTATGTCATATATGTCTTATATGTCTTAAATGATATGATGAATTGGAAATGGGGGACCCTGATGTAAACAAGACGAAAGTCTTTCTCTGGTCTGCATCCCCTTAACAATTGTATGTTTTGAGCTGTACTGTACTGTACCCAATATACAAGCTGTTAATAAACTTTTCAATCAATCAATCCACCTGCTGACTTACCTTAGTGTAAACCTTGATGTCCTCGATTCTGTTCAGTGCATACTTGTAGCCATGAGTGTGCTGGGCGTTGAGGTAATCCTGAGCCGCCAGAGCAGCCTCCTCTGCCTCAGGGGAGTCGCACTGAGGTCGCTCTATGTTGGTCTGAGCCCAAACCCCTAACAGTAGCCCCAGGACCACAGTGACACCCAGGGCATTCATTTTATTCGATAGATGCAATCAAGAAGTATCAGAGCAGTGGTGCAGATGAGGGTTAGAAGGAGAGGAGAAGCTCATGTAGCCTGCAGAGTATATATCCTGTACTTAAATCAGAAAACTCAGCCAAGTTAAACCCCATGATCTTTCCTCCTGACTCCTGCGTCACATGTGGATCGTCCTCTGTTTTAGGATTGGTGCCAAAACAAATGGAAGCTGCCAAAGTCTGCCCGGGACGAGCATGTCTGAGTTCAAGTCCTTCACGGTTCACTATGGCGAGATATGTAGAAATATCGCACACTATCTTGGATTTCCATTAGTAGGCTGTGCAGATTTAACACCAATGTTTCGTGAATAAAATAATAATGTGTGAAGAGATTCATGTTCAGACAAACACCCGTATTGTGTAACCAGCAGACAGCAAGGACCCAATGACTTGTTCAATGACACTTCAGTGAAGAGGATATTTGCCAACAAGAGGGACATAGTTGAGGGACACTCACTACTACACCCACATATTTGCTCTGTGTTTCACCGTTTGCACAAGGGGTCTACACTCCAGGTCAGGAACAGGCTACTTATCGGAAATAATGATTAAAGTATTACTAGTAAAAAGATCCGCTTTTAGGGAGCTGAATCGGGGTCAAAACCTACAGATAATCGGATGTAGCTGTGCAAAGGATGCACTCGTCCACATCCTGTGCACGCCTTGGACTTTGGGCTCATACATTGAAGGGATAGTTTGGATGTTTTGGAATGGGGTTGTGTGAGGTACCGATAGTCAGTGTATTACATACTTATGTAATTATGCTTATGCTGCTGGCACGGCCCCAGTTTGGAAAAACAGACAAAAGTTAAGGCAGGTCAACCACGATTAAGCAAGAGAGACCAAGTGGAGTTATAAAGGGAGAAACTCTGAGTTGCATGCTGGTCAGGTTAAAAGGAATTGAGAAGGAAAACTTGCAAAGAAAATGTAACAGTTTTGTTAGGAACATTCCAATGTCCATGGGTGTGGACAAGGGAAGAAGAAAGAGCAAGGACATAATTATGGAATGGAGGGCTCAGAGTTCACCAGATCCATTGCACTGAGAGTACCCCCTCTTCCAAAAATAAAGATAGACGTGAGTATCTTAGAACAGAAACTGAATGGCAAATGAATGAAGAAGGAGATAAAACAAGTACCTGAGAATAGTTATTACCATTATCTCAAATGCACACAGACAAGAACAAACAGAGGCTTTTATATCCCTCAGTTTAACATGTCTAAAAGGGTTTAAAGGGAATATGTGTACTAATAATCTTACAAAAAAAGTACACTAAGAAAGGAAATAGCATTATTTAACATGTATATTTTCTACTTTCTTGTTTATTTCTTGTCTTTTAATTGTATTGTACAATGCCATGTCTTTTGATGCTGCTGCAACACAAACATTTCCCAAATTGGGATCAATAAAGTACTATTTTATCTTATCTTATTACTAGTTCCACCTACCAGAAAGTAAGGGGGTTTCACAAACTTCAGAAGTGAGTCATCACAAAGAACTGATAAGAAATGTTATGCGAAGGAAAATCAATACTAGTCTCAAATTGGATCACACAGGATTAAATGCCATTATGTCTGTAATGGGGAAATGGAAAAGTACAAAGAAGGGGAACTGTGGAGCTAAATAAAATGTGGAACATATCCTATTTCATTAGAACATGTATAAAACAGAAAGATAAAAGTTAAATGACAAATGTGCAAAACAGCAATCTGATGTTGGTGCTGGGAACACACCAAGAGCTACCAGAGAGGAATTATTTACTTGACTCAAGGTTGATGAGAATAATTACAAAACATGAAGTTTCACAGTGGTGTACAGTAGGTGGCGGTACAGTTGTCAAAGTTATTTTGATCCGCCAACAAAGCAAGAGAAGAAGAAAAGGATGAATGTGATTGGTCTACGCAGGAGTGACACATTGCCCACGCGACTGCCAATGTGGACTAGATTGTAAACACTCGCTGGAAGTGCGCTCTATGTTTAAAGGGTGAAACAGCTAATTTTTGTGTGTACAATTAAAACTACTTTCATTCACAAACAAGTAGATATGGTATCTCTTTACAGACATTAATTCATCCTTCTCCAGAGCGTCAGAGAGGCACACGAGGCAGTAACGGTAAGGCAGCATGTTTAGCTAGCGGCTCACCATTTGTTGTTGTGTCAGTAAACCTAGCTGTGTTAGCTTCTTTAGCAAGTGTATTTCCTTTAAAAATCCTCATGTCAAGAGGAAACCACACCTGACAGGGAAAACTGAGCCTTGTGTGGTGTCAAATTCAGGAGGAAATCAAATATATACATATATATATATGTTAGGCTTGTGCAACTGACAGATTACCTGAACTGCTATGCAAAGCTTTGACAACCATTGGAAATGCATCGAGTATCTCCACATCTTTGCCAGTTTTTAGATCCTTTGTGTACAAATAACTGTTGCTATAGCAGGATTTAAAAAAAAACGTTTTTGTTGTTGCAATGAAGCTCCAAAGTTGCTGTAGCCAATATATAAATACTACAATTAAAGTAAAAATCCTGCATTCCTACCCTTTTATAGGCAAAATGTACTCAAGAGTGAAAGTGCAGCATAATGGCTACTGTCAGTATTATATAATAACATTATATGATTTGATTGATTTGATATATATATATATACTGTATGTGTTGGGTATCCCCAGCTACTAAATACATGTGTTGCAGTAAAATTACAGTATTTCTTACTTAAAAAAACACAGTGACATAAATAGAACTTGAAAATACTAAAAGTAGGCTCGAATATTTCAAAAGTAACCTAAGTACCAGTGGTGTAAGAACATGTTCATACACCTGAGTACTGCAATATGATGTGTTGTTATATATTTTTTATTTTCTAAAACACTGTATCAAATGCTGATCTGTACTTTCAAAAACAGAGTTTGATGATACTGTGATAAAAGCAAATGCAGATCTAACTGTTCATATTTCATGAAACATGTATGTTATTTTATTTTCCACTGATAATTTTTTTAAAGCATTTTATAGTGTTTATACACCATGCCAGCTTGCTTTTGGTAACACAATCTATTGAATCATACTGTAACCCCTGTATCATGATTTTTGCAACATTGTTACCAATACACCGTATGTACAGTAATCGGGTAATTAGTTACATTTCACCACTGCCTATGTAACTACTACATTAACCATCCATAACCTTCATGCTTACCAACAAACCTGATCATAAGTCAGGAAAAACCCATGTGAAACCTTCTATAATAACATTCTGTATTGCAGCTGACATTCTACTTGAGATGCTACTGAAAGCAGAATGAAATACAAGGAGAGTGAGCTGTCATGGTGTGGGTGAGGATCTAAAGTATCAGAAGAACGTGGATCTCAATCTGAATCAGTGTTAAAGAGACGGTGATCCATGGCCTAGTCAGTACTTCAGCAGTGTTGCATATGAGTGATCTGACGGGATACCAACAACTCTCATGTGATCCTTTGTCTTTCAGTCTGACCAATCTCTCCCAGATGCAGCGAACACGCGGCCCGCGGAGCGAAGCAAAATGCCTCAAGAGGAAAAAGGGATTCCTGTCTTTAGTCAAGGGAATTTCTCCCCTTCCTATACGAGCCAAGAAACACGTGTACTCTAAATTACAGCTTTGGATGTGGAGGAAGAGGAGGGAGAAATGCTTTTTCGGAGCAAAGAAAAGAGCTCACAGGATCACCTCCAGCCCTTTACTCAGCGTGAAGACACAGCCACAGGAAAACAAAGTCCCAACCAATCACACACCAAAGCTAGAAGATTCAGACACAGCATCGGCTCTCAGGTGTGACACTGGAGCTTCAGAGGTAACGACCAGAGGTTCGCTTTGTGAATCTGTCAGTCCGTCAGAAACGTTAAATCCATCCAGTTCTTTGCAGAACCAGGTCAAGGACACAAATGTTTCTGAGGGTAACACGAGTCAAACTTTGCTATCTCAGAAAACAGAAGCTTTGGAACAAGTCAGTAAAGTTACAGACCCTTTAACACTTTCTCAAACTATGGAACCTGTGTTGAATACAGAAAGTGATGCATGTGGGTTGAACTCACATTTAAATAAAGAAAGGACATTGGTTCAGGCTCAAAGGCTAGAGGCTGGCGTCCCATCTACTCCGCATCATTTGACTTCTGTGGCTCCAGGTCAGAATCAGATTCCAAACAGACACACGAATAATGGCATCAGCAGTAAGTCTCCTCCAACTGACGTCAGACTGCTGGCAAAAGACATCCAAGGTACATAACTTTTATATTTACTTTAATCAATATTGTGTCAATATATTTTGTTAACATTTTCAGTTTTTAGCTGCTTTTTAAGATGACTATGTTTCCATGTTTCTCTAGAATTTCTGGAGGATTTCTACAGAATATATGGTAGTTTCATCCCATTACAAAAGAGAGACGTGTTGAGACATCTGAAGAGGAAGTTCAACACGGATTTCAGCGGCAGGTAAATCTTTGTGAAGAACTCTGAATCGGACCTTCTTAAATAACTTCGAATCGTTTGGTTCTCTCTGCTTGTTGGATGAAAATCTATTGACTCAATAGCAGTACTTTTTTAGTTGCCATACTGCTCCATTTTGGCATAATGGATAATATGTAGCATTTGTCTTCATGAGTTATCAACTAGTCGCTAACGTCAACGCTGTTATCTGCCTGAAACCTTTATAAACCAGTTTTTACCCACATTTAACAATTCATTTGTTATATCTTTGCCCGTTAGCCTTTAGCTTATAGCTCCTCTGGTCTGTGTCCACCAGGAAAACTCTTATATTAACTTAAGTTATTCATTTAGTTGAGTTATCAAAGAAACAAGATAGACAAAGCTTGGCTATTGTCTTGCAGTCGCTCCGCCTCTCCATGTGTCTGCTGTATAAACACTGAGTTTAGTGTGAAACTCCTTTATTTAGTGTTTTATGAGTTTTTCTTCGTAAACAGTGAGACTTCTATGGATGATTCGTCTCCCGAGAAATACCTCCTGAATATTGAACACTGAAGGAGTCCTGTTCCTAACTGGGACTAGATGACTTCAAAGACCAAACTCTTTTTACTTTGATTGAGTGGCAGAAAATGACATGCTTTGTTACAAGATCTTTAGAAGTGGAGCATTCAGAATGGAGTCTATAACGACCTTCATCTCAGGACCAATTATATATTGTCTTTTTCTCTGTGCAGGAAAAATATAGTCTTCCAAGAAGTGACCAAATACCAAGATGTGATGTTTCAGGAGCCCGTCCCCTGCTTCCAGGTGCTCTACAAGAAACACACGCTGACTCTGGAGGACTTGTCCACACTGGCCGATCAGAACTGGCTCAACGACCAGGTCAGCATCTCACACACCTTAGGTTTCTCATGCTGATTCTGAGAAGAACATTTTCTGTAAAGAAGAGAAGCCTGAATGTTCAATGTTTTGTCTCTTCAAGGTCATGAACATGTATGGAGAGTTGATTATGGAATCCGCGCATCACAAGGTAAATTCTACCTACATGTTTTTTCCTTTTTTAAATATAATTGGAACACCAGCTTGGTGAAGTTTTTACCTGCCAAGGTTTTTAAAAATATTTCCAGTGTTAAAATACATATTCTTTACCAGTTATGGTATTATAAATTCTTCCAGAAAGTTGGATGAAAGGATTGATACTACTGCCATGTCTGTGCGCTAAATACTAAGCTAGTTTAGCTACCATTAGCTTAGCAGAAGACTGAACAGGGGAATTATTTCTGTTCAAAAGTAACAATATGTGCCAAGCAGCATCTCCAAAGCTCACTTATTAACAGCTTATATAAAATGACAGTTATTGTTTTACAAGGTTATATTTGGGACTATTTGCTGGTCAAATGCTGGGACCTCTTGAAGACTTGTCATCGTTATGGCAACTATTGCCAGACAACCACTAGATATAAGGGATTTCCTGAATTGTTGTAACGTTCCTTTAGTTAGTTAATACTTGCCCATAATTCCCATAATTGCGCTATTTCTTTATCCAAACTGTGCAGTAAATACCAGAGGTGGGACCAAGTCATTGTTTTGCAAGTCCGAGTCAAGTCTCAAGTCTTTGCGCTCAAGTCCGAGTCAAGTCTCAAGTCTTTGCGCTCAAGTCCGAGTCAAGTCTCAAGTCAGGATGGGAAAGTTCAAGTCAAGTCCAAGTCCTAAACTTTGACAAAACGAGTCTTAAACAAGTCCTTATGTGCTTTTCAACAAATGTAATGACATCGATCAACAGAATAATAATCAAACTGCTCTTTATTAGTCACATTAATAATTGAATAATCAATTTTCTCTCTGCTGGTAAAGTAACATGTTTGTCTTCTATTGTAAGAGGGATCAGTAAGGTAAGGCTACCGTGACGGTTTGATTCAGAAGGAGTTTAATGGATAAGATCCCTGATGTTAAGGTAACCAGAATGTTTATTTCCACTGTGTACAGCATGTTATAAGGGACCCACAATCTATCTTTATGCAAGGGATAATGTGCAGCGAGCCGGTCTTTATGGGGAAAAAAACACCTGAATCTAGATCCCTCTGCAGGTGGTACTTTAAGTATATTTTGATGCTAATACTTTTGTACTTTTACTTGTAACATTTTGAATGCAGGATCTTTTATTGTAACCGAGTATTCCTACACTCTGGTACTTTTACTCAAGTACAAGATCTGAACTTCTCCCACCTCTGACAATAAATCCTGAGTGGTTACCAAAAAAAAAACCCCTGCTCTGAAGGTTATTTTCATTTTACAAATCCTGCACTCAGCTTTGCTTTCTCCAATATCATTGAAATGCAGCCAGATGCTGCTTCTTTTTTCGGTTTTCGCAAATTTCTTGACTTTTCCGACGCGCTTGCATTTAAATCCGGCTCCCCGTCTCCCCGTGGCTCTGTAGCTGGCCTGTACCACTACAACTGCTGTCTTTGGAGCGTCTGCCCCCCACCCTTCTTTCACATAATGGTATGATCCTAGTGTGTCCTCGCATATGATTGGCCGCATGGTGGCTCAGCAAAATAAAGTCCCGCCCCTGCCTGCATGGATTCTCAGCAAGAGTTGCAGCGGCTGAAGATTCTGCTCTCCCCGACGGGAGTCTGCTCTTCTAGCGGCATCTCGCGATCGGCGTGTTGGAGACCCCTGAATTAAATGATCAAGTCACTTCAAGTCAGAAGGCTCAAGTCCAAGTCAAGTCCCGAGTCATTGGTGTTCAAGTCCAAGTCAAGTCGCAAGTGTTTTGTGATTTTGTCAAGTCGAGTCCAAAGTCATCAAATTGGTGACTCGAGTCCAAGTCATGTGACTCGAGTCCACACCTCTGGTAAATACTTTGAAAGTGCTTTCAGACACGTTTTATTTCAAGCGTATCCACTATGTTTGAATTTCTGACTAGTATAATACACATTCTGGAGTTGAGACGCTTCTCTGCGCTCTCTCCTGGGCAGTCATCCATAGGAATCCCGAACCCAATAAAATACCCAATATTAACGGTGTGTGTGTCTGCCCAAGGACAATTTAAGGTAAAACCTAATAGAGGTGTCATACATAATAACCTAATAAAAGTAAATGTAACAACTACTACACTACAACAAAATAGGAAGATTAAATGTGGACTCTTAAACATAAGATCTCTAGCATCTAAAGCAATATTGGTAAATTATTTAATATCAGATTATAATATTGATATGCTCTCTCACTGAAACTTGGTTGAGACATGAAGAATATGTCAGCATTAATGAGGCCACTCCACCCAGCCATATCAATACTCATATTCCTCGAGGCACATGCCGAGGAGGTGGAGTCTTTGACTCAAGTTTACTTATCAATACGAAACCAAAATTAAATCATACCTCCTTTGAAAGGCTTGTTTTTATTCTTACGCATCCGACCTGGAAAACTTTGCAGCCAATCTTATTTGTTACAGTGTACCGTGCACCAGGTCCTTATTCAGAATTTGTATCAGAATTCTGAGTTTTTATCAACTTTGGTACTTAAAACAGATAAAGTAATTATCGTAGGTGACTTCAATATTCATGTTGACGACGATAAAAATAGCCTTACTGTTGCATTTATCTCTATATTAGATTATATTGGTTTCCTTCAGAGTGTAAATAAACCAACCAACTGTTATAATCACACTCTCAACCTTGTTCTGATTTATGGTATTGAAATTGAGCAACTATTAATCTATAATCCTGCTTTATCCGACAATTTTCCGGCAAAATAAAGCAAAAGTCGAGACAACTTGAAAGGATATGGCGTTCCACTAAACTTGAAGAATCTCGTTTAATTGGCATATTACTCTCAATGAATATAAGAAAGCACTGCGTAAAGCGAGAGCAGCTTACTACTCTTCATTAATAGATGAGAATAAGAATAATGCAAGATTTCTTTTCAGCACTGCAGCCAGGCTGACAGAGAGCCACAGCTCTACTGAGCCTTCTATTCCCATAGCACTCAGTAGTAATGATTTTATGTGCTTTTTTAATGATAAAATTGTTACTCTTAGAAACAAAATTAATGACCTCTTGCCTTTGACCAGTATAGTGTTATCAACAGCTCCCGGAAACGTAAGTTCTAATATTACACTAGATAGTAAATTAGAATGCTTTTCACCCATAAACCTTGAACAATTGAATTCAATGATTCTTTCTTCTAAAGTTCTAAACCATCAACGTGTATCTTAGACCCGATTCCAACTAAGCTGTTGAAGGAAGTTTTTCCATGAATTAACACTTCTTTATTAAATATTATGAATATGTCTTTATTATCAGGCTATGTTCCACAATCATTTAAAGTAGCAGTGATAAAACCGCTTCTTAAAAAGCACAACCTCGAGGTTTTAGCCAATTATAGACCTATTTCTAATCTTCCATTCCTCTCAAAAATTCTTGAGAAAGCAGTCGCAAAACAGTTGTGTGATTACTTAAAAAACAATGATTTATTTGAAGATTTTCAGTCTGGCTTTAGAACACATCATAGCACAGAGACAGCTCTGGTTAAAGTCACAAATGACCTTCTAATAGCCTCAGACAAAGGACTTGTCTTGCTCGATCTCAGTGCTGCATTTGATACTATCGACCATGATATCCTATTGCAAAGACTAGAGCACTTAGTTGGCATAAAGGGAACTGCTTTAGGCTGGTTTAGGTCCTATCTATCTGAACGCTCTCAGTTTGTGTGTGTCAACGATGTATCTTCCATGCAAACCAAAGTGAGCCATGGAGTGCCACAGGGCTCAGTGCTTGGACCTATTTTGTTCACATTATATATGCTTCCGTTAGGCAATATTATAAGGAATCACTCTGTACATTTTCATTGTTATGCGGATGATACTCAACTATATTTATCCATCAAGCCTGATGAAACCAATCATCTAAATAAAATTCAAGACTGCCTCAAGGATGACGTGGATGACCTTACATTTTTTTATGTTAAACACGGCCAAAACTGAAGTTATTGTACTCGGCCCAAAGAATCTACGAAACAAACTACCTAAAGATATATTAACTATGGATGGCATTCATTTGGCCTCCAGTGAGACTGTAAGGAATCTTGGTGTTATATTTGATCAGGATTTTTTCTTTAATGCCCACATAAAATTAATCTCAAGGACCGCCTTCTTTCATCTACGTAACATAGCAAAGATCAGGCATATCTTGCCTCAAAACGATGCAGAGAAACTAGTCCATGCATTTGTTACTTCAAGGCTGGATTATAACTCTTTATTATCAGGGTGTACCAAAAAGTCAGTTTAGTCGCTTCAGCTAATTCAAAAATGCTGCAGCACGTGTACTAACCAGAGTTAGGAAAAGGGACCACATTACTCTTGTTATGGCTGCCTTACACTGGCTCCCTATAGAACACAGGATAGAATTTAAAATTATTCTTCTCGCCTGCAAAGCCCTTAATGGGCAGGTGCCATCTTACCTTAAAGGGGACCTATCATGCAAAATGCACTTTGTGATGTCTTTTATACATAAATATGTGTCCCCAGTGCGTCGGGGAACTCACGCAGCGTCAGAAAATAAAACCCTTTCTCTTTTCCTCCGTACCCAAATCTTTTAAAAACGGGTGTACAACGAGCGGATACAGATTTCCATCCGAACTGACGTGTCCATCCGAGGTGACGTCGGCGGACCCACAGAAAGTTGCTATCAGAAACAATGTCTGACGTGTTTTGGACGTCTTTGTTTACATTAGCAAGCCTCGCTAACACTCAGAGCTAACCTGTATTGAAGAGCACATGTGTTTTAAAAATCAGGAAATAAAAAAAGAACTCGCCTTGTGATAAACCTGCAAGAGAAAAAGCATTTGAGCTCCATACTATTTCAGAAATAATCCTTGACGTGGTTTAAACAGGATGGCGTTTTATCACAACCGAATTTAACTTTATCTCCGGTAGAATTCTGATCAGGCATTAGCTCCGCCTCCTCTTATTTATTTATTTCAAGCTAAGGACCCAAAATCTGCGTTTCTCAGATGCCCCTTTCACACCAACGCGTTTTCAGCGCCGGCTCGGAGCTAGAGCCTGAAAAGTACCGGTTTTTCCTGTTCACACCGCAGCGGCGCCGCCTCTTAGCTCCGGAATCCGGTTCACTTCCAGCTCCAAAAAATTGTCGGTCTAGAAGCAAGAGCTTCGGAGCTAAGAGGCGGCGTCGCTTACGTCTCACTTACGTCGAGGCGTGCAGGAAACTAAACCCACCTCCCCTGAACATGGGTCGACTGAAGAGTCTCGTCATGCCTGCCTACAAGCAGTAGCGCTGAGCAAAGTGACTAGAAGGCAACCACACACTTATAAAAAAAAACACACTTTATAAAGTCAGGCAACACTAACCAGGCTTCGTGTGATTCTGTTTATTTGTACCTTACTTTGACCATGCGTTCGCTGTTATTGATCATTGTGGAGAGCAGGCAGACGTTTTGTTTTTTATTATAGCAGCTATCGGATGGAATCAATACATGGGCTGCACAGGTTGTCATGTCCGACTATCACAAGTAGAATCATAATGAAAAATACGCCGGTAAAATGTGCCTGTAGAAAACGGCTTAGCAAGTAGTCAGTTTAGCTTCGGTTGCTATGCTAACATCACCCATGTTATACCAGAGAAACGTTCATAACAGCGTTGTGATGCCAAACAGCGTCAATTCAGACTGACACACATTCACTTAAGGGGAACTGGGGATATGTATCAGCTGCTTGTGTGACAGTCAGACAGTGAATACTTTAGAGCCGTGTGAGCTAACCCGGAGCTAACGGGAGAATAAACTCCCGTGGAAGAGCAGCCAGCACTGCAGCGGTCGGTAAATGCCGCTGAAACACATTAATAAACAATGAACCACGGCACTCTGGAGAAAAGTATAAGGTTGGAGAAGTCGTTATTTAATTTAATCTGGCTTCGTATGATTAAAAGCAACACGATCATCGACCCGACGCAGTCCCCCGTTGTTGTTGTTGTTGTTGTGAGCTCCGTTGGGGAGAAAATCAGCGATGTAAACGGTGACGTCATGACGCAGCAGCGGCAGCTCTGGGCGGTGTGAACAGAGCGGGAGCAGAAAATGGAAACCGGAGCTGAACCAGAAAAGCTCTAGCTAGGAGCTAGAAAGGGAAAAGCGCTGGTGTGAAAGCCGCATAACAGGGCTTCAAAAGAGGGGTTTGAGCAATATGAGGCATGGCTACAATGGGTGATCTGTTTGGTATTTTGAAAAAAAAAACTTCACAGACATGTTTTATATAGGTATGGCCCTACAATATATTTTTCAAATATAGCATGATAGGTCCACTTTAAATAACTAATTATACCCTACTGTCCTACTAGGGCATTGCGTTCCAAGCATGCACGGTTGTTCCTAGAGTCTCTAAAAGTACAGAGCCTTTTCTTATCAAGCTCCACTTTTGTGGATTCAGCTTCCAGTTTGTGTTCGGGCGGCAGACAGCCTATCCGTTTTTAAGAGTACGCTTAAGACTTTCCTTTTTGATAAAGCTTATAGTTGATAAGAGAATCTAATAAGAGTGCATTGACGTAGACACGTTGTGCCTCTTCACCTATACATCTCAGTTCTTACTCTTTTTCCTTACTGATGGTATGGATGTCATTTGGTTGTGTGTGTCGACGGTGGAAGCAGGGAGAGGCATACACGTGCCTTGATCCCTGCCGAGTCGACGCACAACTGTTGATTGGTGTCAGCGCCAGAAAAACTTTTTAGGAGCAATGCGCTCATGGTCAGTATAGATGTGCATACATCTTAGTTCCTACTCTTTTCCCTCACCCTATCCTAAGGGAGTGCATGTACGTAGACATGTTGTGCCTCTCCACCTCTGTTCCTTACTTCTTACTTGCTACCCTTTTCCCTCAACCTATCCTAAGGGAGTGCATGTACGCAGACACGTTATGCCTCTCCACCTCTGTTCCTTACTTCTTACTTGCTACCCCTTTCCCTCAACCTATCCTAAGGGAGTCCATGTACGTAGACACGTTGTGCCTCTCCACCTCTGTTCCTTACTTCTTACTTGCTACCCCTTTCCCTCAACCTATCCTAAGGGAGTCCATGTACGTAGACACGTTAGTTTTGCTGCTATAGGCTTAGACTGTCGGGGGGGACCTTACTTCTTCCTTCTGTCTGTCTGTACCTGTGTACTCTCATGTTCCGAATAACCCAGCTTCCCCCAAATTTCTTTTTGGTGTCTATCTACGCCTGGATCCTGAGTCCTGGCTGATCCTGTTGCTGCGGTCCTGTGTCCTGGATCCTGAGTCATGTGTCCTAGATCCTGGATCTGGAGTCCTGGATCCTGAGTCCTGGATCATGTGTCCTGGATCCTCTATCCTGAGTCCTGGATTTCAGTCCTGGACTTCGAGTCGTGGCTGAACCTGTCACTGTGGTCCTGCCTGAACCTGTCACTGTGGTCCTGCCTGACTCTCATCATACTACTTCCCTGATGGCTCCCACAGGATTGTTGACATCCTCGTGGATTCATCTTCTTATTATAGACACATGCATTTCCAAACATTTGGTCTACCTATGCTGTAAAATGTATTATCTCTTCGATTTACACACAACATCTATTGCACGTCTGTCCGTCCTGGGAGAGGGATCCCTCCTCTGTTGCTCTCCCTGAGGTTTCTCCCATGTTCCCCTTTAAACTGTGGGTTTTTCTCTGGAAGTTTTTCCTTGTACGATGTGAGGGTCTAAGGACAGAGGGTGTCGTATTGTCATACTGATATTCTGTACAAACTGTGAAGTCCACTGAGACAAATGTAACATTTGTGATATTGGGCTCTATAAATAAACATTGATTGATTGATTGATTGACATTCATTTCCACAGTCTTTAATTATTGTAAATTTGTATCTTCTTTTCATCCCAACTCTTAGGTCCATTTTCTGAACAGCTTCTTCCACAGGCAGCTCATGACTAAAGGATACGACGGTGTTAAGAGATGGACGAAGCAGGTTGGGAAAAAATAACTTTAAAGTCTGCATGATAAAATGATTCTGAAACAAAAAGAAGATAAATCAGAGTGGCTTTAATCTTTCCTGCGCAGGTGGACTTGTTTTCCAAGAGCTTGCTTTTGGTGCCCATCCACCTGGAGGTTCACTGGTGTCTGGTGACGGCCGACATCGCAAAAAAAAAGATCTGCCTTTACGACTCTCAGGGGAACGCACTGCAGAAGGTCGCCAGGGTAACCTCATGTTTCTTGTCTAGCAATCTACTTAAAAAACTCAGTTGCTTCTCCTGCGCTTAGTTCTTATCCTCAAGACATTTTAAAGTGTTTCTTTATGTTTTGCTTATTATAGAACATCCTGAAATACTTGATGGTGGAAGCAAGGGAGAGGAAGCAAACTGATTTTGAAAGTGGTTGGGCGGTGTCGTACGATGAGGTATGTTCCTTTGATGGTGTAAGGTTATTGATAATGATAATACAAGTAATGATAATATACATAAGGTAATCTCACAAATGCATAAAACAGAGCTCATGTGATGTCTTGTCTCCCCCTGCTGTCCTTTACAGATAATCCCACAGCAGACCAATGAAAATGACTGCGGAGTTTTTGTCTTGGAGGTACGAGCATGTTTATTAGGCAAAAAGGGATAGTGCAGATAGTTTGAAGCTTGGGGTTGTATGAGGTTCTTATCCATAGTCGGTGTATTACCTACACTAGATGGTGGACGGCACACCCGTTTGGAGAAACAATAAGAAGCGTCAACAGGAAGCTAAGCAATGTACTGATGTGGAGGGGGAAGCAACAAAAGGTATACAAAAATCCATCAGTTTAAGTGTACACTATATTGAGAATATATCACCATTTCACTTCGTCTTCAGACAGCTATATAGCCTATTTTTCAGACCAGGAAATGAAGCTATTAGGTTTATCAATGCTCTCTTCAAAGCCACCAAACTCAATTTACAAAAAGAGTATTTTTACTTTGATAAAACAAGGCATTTTGTGGTCTATCACTGCCTTTATTGGTTTGGATTTGTTGTGTTATTGTGTGATTTTTGTGTTTTTAAATGGTTAGTTTGGATTCACAAAAGTCTCACAGTACCCAAACTAACTAACCAATTAAAGCAGCTATAGACTAGCAGGTTGCATATTTTGCAAGGTTAAATAAGTGTTTTTTCCAATGAAGTCTAGTAACTTTGAAGATATTTTAGATGGATATAACAGCTTCAGTTGCCTGTTAGAAAGGGATCTTTCATTGCAAGGTAAAGCAGTGAAAATATTCTAAATATAGCGTACACTCAAACTGATATCGGGGTTTTTTTAATGGGTCTTTCCATTAGTTGGGTATAATATGTTCTGTGTCGCCCCCATCCACAGCAGTTCATTGCTTGAGTTCCACAGGTGGTGACATTTTCTCCTGACTATGGATAAGTATCTTATGCTACCCCTCTTCTAAACATCCTAACTATTTATTTGAGTATAAATGGTAAATGGACTGTACTTATATAGCGCTTTATCCAGTCTTTAAGACCCCTCAAAGCGCTTTATATACTACATGTCGTTCACCCATTCACACCCATTCATACAGAGCAGTGTACCTTACTCTAGGAACTAACATTCATACACATTCACACACCGTTGGCCATGCCATCGGTAGCAACTCAGGGTTAAGTATCTTGCCCAAGGATACAACGACATGTTGACTGCATGGGCTGGGATCGAACTCACAACCTTCTGGTTGAAAGATGACCGCACTCCCTCGCAGCCACAGTCACCCTTACTATATACTACATTACTTCAATCAGGAGAGACGGTTTTGATGTAATAATACATATTTATTGCCAGGAATACACAAATGAATGTAATGGAGTTTTGGCGATTAGGCCCTGTTGTGCAGGAGTATCATTCGGGAGGGGAGAACCGATCCGATGAACCCACCGGGGTCTAGACACTGGTGGTGGTGAATGGATAGTTGGGGTCGGTCTGAAGAGGAGTGGCTTAGCTTGACCCTGGATTCAGAGGGACAGAAGGTGAAAAGGGGTTGAGGAGGGTTGCGTCGAGTCACCTGAAATGACAACTGTCGGAGGGGGGAGAGCAGATTTAAAAGGTTTAGCAGAGCGCTATGATAGGCTTGTGGGAATAGAGCAAAGTGATTGGTTAAGCTGGGGAGTGACACCCCCGATCACTTATTGAGAGGAGAGAGAGTAGTAACATAGAAATAGTAGATGAATGAGTAAAGACGGTCTTCCTGGTTGAACTTGCGCTGAGCTTCATTTCCATAATCGTGGTATTGAACTCATTACATTCTCCTTCACAGTACTCTAGACGCCTCGCTCTGGAAAAACCTCAGCAGTTTTCACAGAAGGACATACCAAAGATACGCAAGAGGATCTACAAAGAGCTCTGTGACTGTGCGCTCCATGAACAGGGTTGACCACGATCAGACAGTTGTGTTTCCTACCCTTTTCACTGATAATATCCGAAAAGGGTAGGAAATAAACAGCCCACACTTTGAGGGCCTCAGTATCCGCTGTACTGCAGCCCTTCAGCGCTGTGAGTGTTGCAATGTTTTTATGATTGCTGTTTTTATGTGATCAATATTTATTCAGGCATGGTATTCAAGAAGAAATGAAAGTTCCTGTTAGACCATGGATTGGAGTTTACACATCTACACTGCACCAACAGAGCCTTAATGTTCGGCCTGTCTTATAAAAAAAAAAAAAAGGTGTGTTTTCTGATCAAGATTCTGTACACTTTATAAGTGTAATTGTGCCTCTTTCAGCCGTTAGACACAGATGACTGAATGAAGGATATGTATTTTATTCATTAAAAAAAACATTTGTTTGTTTTAATAATGGAAATAAAAAGTTCATGAAGTTAAAATAAAGCACAATTTCGAAAAATGTCACAATGTATTTTATTATTTGCATTGTCTGTGTGCACTGCATGCGTGAGCGCAGGGTACATATATATTCATCAATACACAAAGAACAATACATATCTAAATAGAGACCGGTATTTGTTTTATATCCAGTGATTATACCTGCATGCGTACGTCTCCCTGTCATAATTCATACACTGATAAGAAAGCAGTGCTCAAGAGAAAAATGGAAATGTAAGGCACAATACAAACTAATGTTAGGTTTTCAGTATGAGAACCAGATTAAATTAATAAATAATATATTTTAATTAATATATTGCGCAATATGTAATATTCATTACCAGATAAATCTGTTCACAACAGACATGTTTCTATTACTGACCTTATCAGTACACTAGATACAATAAAATGCTGATTTACACATAGTATATTTGTTCAAATTATGCCCACACTCTTAAATATCTCAATGGGACCTACCTGGTTAAATAAAGGTTTGAAATGAAAAAATGAAAGAATATATATTTTCCCTGTTACCTTCAGTGCTATTTATTTATAATAACTATTTTTCTTTTTACCATATTAATAACACTACAGGTATGAGTAAACTTATATATCTTTGGTATTTTGGTGTGAAGAGTCCTTTTAACTATTTAAAAAAAAAGATAATGTGAAAAATGCGAAATTATCCCTTTTTTCGTGCTGTGTGCAGATTACCGATAACCCCTGATTTTTGGATACTACATTTTTTGAAAGGGGCCCTACTATTCAAATGTTTAGTTTAATATTAGTCTTTTGTGTCTACTGTGTCATGGCCTGGCTCTTGGCCATAACAAAAAGCGTGGAAAGGACAAGAACATATATGAAAAATATATTTATTAACAAAAGTTTAACGTAAACCAAAAAAACTAACACAAAGGAAAAGCAAAAAGACGAAGCGACGTGGCTGCTCCGAGGTCAGGTCCTCTGCGGGGGAGAGAGATTGCGGGTCTCACTCAGGCCCTTTAACCCTCTGGTACCGGCCGCCAGGTGTCCTCAATCCCAGCTGATAGACCAAAGGGAGAACCTTAAAGGAACACACACACACACACAAGAGATAACAAGGCAGGGGTCGTCACCCCCCCCCCCCCCCCCCCCCCCCCTTAAAGTCGGTGTCCCCAGGACCACCAGCACACCAACCCCAACCCTGACAAAAAAAAAAAACCCACCAGTAATGAAAAACAAAAACACAAGACATAAGGCACCCCACTTCCAACAAAACCAACAATTGCAACATACAACCCTCACACTGCCAACCGCTCCTCCAACACCCAGCCACATCTTTAGCAACACAGGTAGGCTACCTGAGAAGCACACTTTAAAGAAAATGGGCAGAGCGAGAACGATTTATCAAAACAGTATGACAGACAATACATTACCGTCACGGCCCGTGTTTCCTCAGTTGTAGCAGTTAGTTTCACTGGCTTTACTGCAATACACCGCAACGTGGCCAATGTCGCCACACCTGTAACATTTCACCCTACTACAACGTCTCTGGATGTGACCAAGCCCACCGCAGGAGTAGCACTTCCGGTCGTTGGCATGCCCACAGTCACGAGCCATGTGTCCTTGGTCTCCACACCGATAGCAGAACATTTACTTGCCTCTTCCTCGACCCCTGCTGCCGCCGCCACGACCACCATCAACGCCGCCGCCGCCACGACCACTTTGACTAGTGGGACAATGCTTGGTCTTCTGGTTTCTAAGCATAGTTTTGGCCATAGCACGAGTGATCACACAAGAGGACGTAACGTCTTCCAACCCTGTAGAGCTCTCCTCAGACCCTGACTCAATCAGACCGCCAGTGACTAAAAGCGCAGGGGGAACATCAGTCCAGACTCTGCTACCTGCCAAACCGTTGCCCAGAATGAACTGTATACCCTCTATTGGCAAAGCTGGACGTACACCAACAGCCACCTCACCCTTAACAAGATCACAGTCAATATATATCCTATGAACAGGAATAGGAAGAACTTTTAATCCCATCCCCCAACTCAGAACTGTGTCACCAGTGTCACTTTCATCAGACAAAGGCAAAACAGAGTCAACAATATAGGAGTCAAAAGCCCCTGTGTCCCGCAAGATTTTGATTGGAACTCTGACATTGCTACCTACCAATGACACCAAGCCGTCTCGTATAAATGGAGCATAAGATGCCAAAACCTCAGATCCACATAAGTGGGATGTAAGCACATCGGCAACACAGCAGCTTTTCACAGGAGCAGCCAACGCAACAGGCCTAACAAAATATCTTCCTCCCTCAGATTTTGCTCTAAGCGCAGGACATTCTGCCTTCCAATGGCCTTTTTCACGACAGTAGTGGCAAATATCATTATTTAGTGGGAATGCTGATACAGCTACGGACAAACAAGTTATTATTATTCCGTCCAATTATTTTGTCCGTCTTCTCCTCCCACATTCAACATCGCAGAAACTCCGTTCAAACATCAAAACGTTCAGCTCGGTCGGGAATCGGGCGCTATTACTTTTATCATTAATAACTTTCATAATTCCAGAGATACATCCCATAATACATCACATTTTTAACCATTGAAGTCAATGGAGATATTCTTCAGACTTCAACAAATCTTCATGCGACTTCAACTGCTAACTGTTCATTCATACTTTCACTCAGAAACCTCATTCCAACTTTAAAATGTTACACATCTTTCCGACATTATTCGTGTAACACAACTTTTAAATCTGATTCTTACTTTTAGAGATATTAAACATTGTTCAGACCTTGTTAAAGAGGTTTTCTTCAGATTTTAACATTAACTAGAGTGCGTGATGTCACAGCTAGAGGGTAAGAAATCTTGAAATGTGCCTTCATATTTTTTTTTAAAACTGCCATAATTCCCAAACCCTACATTCTTGAGACATAGTTTTTCATGACAAACGTAGGAAAACATCTCGTAGCTTGAAAAATTACAAATAATTAAGCAAAATAATTAAACAAAAACGCCTCTTGAGGGCATGAAGTGACAAAAACGTTTAACATGTCTCCATTAAAGCCCATTGTAATTTCAGGCAGATATTTCCTCACAGCAGCAGCCACACACCTTTCTTAAACTGCCAAAAAGGCCACATTATTAACCCGAAAGTACACAAAAATTACACTTCAGATACTCAACTTCCTTGACATGCTTCACGTTTTGAAATTTCACAGATATCTGTTATCGTTCTTCCACAATTCAATTCAGAACAATGAAGCCTTTGATCTTGTCATAGCTCGTTAGCTCAACTATAAACACCTGTGTAATGGAACACGATGATATTCTCTCTCTCTCTCTCTCTCTCTCTCTCTCTCTCTCTCTCTCTCTCTCTCTCTCTCTCTCTCTCTCTCTCTCTCTCTCTCCTAATACAATTATAAAATGCAATAACGTGCTTTAACCAGTAGGTGTCCCTTTCTATCAGCTGTGCACCGTTATGGCATAAATACAGCCTATCTACCAATTGGATCAAATATAAAAGTCAGCCGAATTAGTGTTGATACTGCAAGGAGACGTATTGTGTGAAAAGAAATGTAAGATGTTTAATTGCTTATATATTTAAGATCCACGTCAAGTTTTCAGTTTTGGCGGCAGTTCCTGTTTGTCTAGAAGTCTTGTCATCAGGGCTCTATACATAGAGTTAACTACGGCAGATATGTCATATTTAATGCAGCCGAAACGTGTATTACAATGCCGTTATGTGATGACTTTCAAAGAGAAAAGCAAGCACACTCGGAATAATGTATTATTTAATTGTTTTATACAGTCTATGGTTGCTACAGAGGATTGTGGGTAATGTCATGTCTTCGGCCATCCAAAACTCATAGAAAACGACTTGTTTCTCAGAATTGAAGGAAAAACGTGACAAAAGCATTGTACACACACTAAAACCTATCAATGTCGTTTAATTAACAAGGATAATCTGGTGTTTTTGAAGAGAAAAGCAAGCACACTCGGAATAATGTATTATTTAATTTTTTTAAACAGTCTATGGTTGCTACAGAGGATTGTGGGTAATGTAATGTCTTCGGCCATCCAAAACTCATAGAAAACGACTTGTTTCTCAGAATTGAAGGGGAAAACGAGACAAAAGCATTGTACACACACTAAAACCTATCAATGTCGTTTAATTAACAAGGATACAGTAATCTGGTGTTTTTGAGTTGATGAGTAGTGGAGATATCACTGTCAAATCAATCGACAGTAAGGGGAATACTTACTTCCGGGTGTACAATTCTCCATTATCCAATGGGAATGGACGCTCACATTGCCTTTAACAGCCTCCGACACAAACGAATGCCGTGCTTCCCTAAGCGTCAAATACCGACGCCGATGGGAATACATTGCAATCAGTTGAAAGCTCTTTGCGTCCGTTTATGAAGCTGAAGGAGCCTCGGCGCGTCACAACTGGACGCCACGGGACCCTGACCAAGCGTCGCTCCTGGACGCTTAGGGAGTGAGAGTGTGTTGGATCATTCGCCATCAAGTTAGTTCAAAAGTTTGCATTTCAAATATTCTGCTGCTTTTCCAAGCCTTTTTTACTTTCTTTACTTCTCTCATCACACATTCAAGCCCCCAGTGTTCATGTATCATTTCAATCTAAATTCTTCACTTTCTTCTTACACATTACATTTCAGCATAAAGCATTCCCACTAGCAATTTCTTCAGGAATTGCATTCTCTAGTTATCCATGTTGTCCACCTCAGATTTTACCAAACCCAATTTCCTTGGATCCATCCCAAATGAACCAACATCAACAGCCTTTCTACTTCCTTCAAAAACAGTTAGGGCCTCAGAGCGCCCTCCGAACCTGCTCTTATGAAGCAACACAAACTCATCAGCTGCCACAGCAGCTTCAGCCGCAGAAGTGACCCTGTGTTCTGTTATGTAAGTAGCAATCTTGTCAGGAAGAATATTTTTTTTAACTGTTCCAAAGTCATGAGCTCACACA